GTTCTTGTATTCAAATTAAGCGCGGTCCACTGCTGCACACGTGCCACAATATCGATACAGGGCCAGCTGTATCAATACTCCTATCGTCAAATCTCTGTGACGATACATCGTCGTATCGATGTATCGAACACCGCACTACTAGAGACATCATATCCTGTTTTTTTACTATGATAATTCTGCATACTTAAAGTCCAGTGTGACCGCGTTTTAATACTGAACAGTTAATCTTTCTTCTGCTGACAGGGCTTGTTTCAAAGCTCACCAGAATAGTCATAATCTCAGAGGCTTTGACACCATTAATATCTGAGGAAGCACAGTGAGCATATGAGGGTCAAAGGGGGAATTTAACTGTGTTAGCATTGCACATGGGAGATGCAAAGCGAAAACGCACCCTCACAAGCAGCAGCCTCACACATACTGATCCAACTTCATCCAGAAACACACACACTTAAGTTCAGGGTGTGTACAACATGGGTGAGACTAGGGTTTGCAGTCTGTAAGTTTGCATAAGTGAGCATGTGATAAAAAATAGAAGACAACACACTGGAGTCTTTGATTTGCCGCTGGTAACGAGTAAGTGAGCGAGCTTTCAAACACCTCGCTCTTTGCTCCAGGCAAAATCACGCTGCTAACAAATACACATGCCCTTCGTCCTTCCTCCAACATATGTGGCATAACAGTTCATAGCATAAACCCTTATAACTTCCCCCCATAACCCCAGCACTCCCTCACTTATCATCTCTCATTCATGTATGCATAAAGAGATCATCAAAGGCAGATATGAATTATCACATCACCTCCCCGTACTGCTGCACACTCATGATCAGCCAGTGGGTTCAATCCTAAGAGAAATGCCCACATCCACTGCTGCAGCCCCTCCCCTGCCTACATGGCTATTTTGCACACTCGTCTAAAGCCACACACACACAGCACGGCTGAAATGGGCTGAAACAAAAGAGATTAGGTGCTGCTGACAGCCACAATCACACCACTTGAGAAAAAGGCACTGATCGTGTTTGTATGATGTGCAGGGGGAAGAACAGGGGAATCTGTTGTCATCTGATGAAGACCGCAGCATGGAGAAAACAGGCTGGTCATTTTGGATTAAACAAACTAAACATTTCTTGGGGTTCTTGCACTATTATCCATCTATTCCACTCTCATTGCAGTCTGAGAGAACCATTTAAACACTTGTCTTGGTTGGCAACATCAGCTGGTCGCAAATCATTGAAGATTTAACTGTTAAATGACAGTTTTCTAGTAAATATGACTGACTCCAGAGTTTAACATCAGCATGTTTCTAAGTTAATGGCAAGAAACTTTAAACAGCAGGAAAAAAATAAAAAAGCACATGCAGATATTTTTATATACACAATACTGTTCAAAAGTTTGGAGTCGGTAAGATTTTTAAACGCTTTTGAAAGACGTCTCTTATACTCACAATGGCTACATTTATTTGATTAAAAATACGGTAAAATATTATTACAATTTAAAATAACCGTTTTCTATTTTAATATATTTTCAAATGTAATTTATTACGGTGATGCAAAGCTGAATTTTCAGCATCATTACTTCAGTCTTCAGTGTCACATGTTCCTTCAGAAATCATTCTGATATGCTGATTTGCTGCTCAAGAAAAATGCATTATTATTGAAAACAGTAACAAGTATATTATTGCAACAAAAAAAAATGTAAGATTCTTCAATGAATAGAAAGTTCAAATGAACCGCATTTATTTGAAGTAGGAATATTTTGTAACATTAGAAAATGTCTTTACTAAAATGTCATCCTTGCTGGATAAAAGTATTTATTACTCAAAAACAAATCTTACGGACCCAAAACATTTTGAACTTTAGTGCATTACACTATATTACATTATTCTGAACAATTCTTTTGGACAGTACCTTTACAGATCAGTATAATTATTACCAAAGAAAGCCTGATACATACAAGTATATTAATATTCAATAAATAACTCTCGCTTTGTTTGCCATCTTAGATTGATTTTTTCCACTTGGCACAATGCATTGTGGGATTGCCTTCTCCCTGAAGAATTCATACATAGTTGCCTTTTCATTTGGTATAATTATGCAGCCCACATTTTGAAAAAGCCTTTGTGACTATGATGCATCCAAAGACAGCTCACTAGGTTTTGGAAAAGAGCTCTTTTGGACCCTTTACAGATCAGTATAATTATTACCAAAGAAAGCCTGATACATACAAGTATATTAATATTCAATAAATAACTCTCGCTTTGTTTGCCATCTTAGATAGATTTTTTTCCACTTGGCACAATGCATTGTGGGATTGCCTTCTCTCTGAAGAATTCATACATAGTTGCCTTTTCATTTGGTATAATTATGCAGCCCACATTTTGAAAAAGCCTTTGTGACTATGATGCATCCAAAGACAGCTCACTAGGTTTTGGAAAAGAGCGACATTGCCAAAGAATAAAACCACTTACATCTTTGCAGGCTGCAATCTGGTTGATATATTCTCCATCAGTGAATATGATGTTCTGACCATCTGCTTGTAGACCTGAGAAAGAGAGAGACATTTTAATTTGTAATAGACACTTTTTACAGTTCCAGACTACAGTCCAAATTACACTGAAGAAAGGCTTGTCATAATCAATACAAGACGTATTATTTTATATAAACTACTTCATATCACTACATAATATATTTATTGCTATGTAAATGGCAAACTAAAGGTCACTGACAATTCAGGGAAATAAGGGACAAGCCCCTCAATACATCCTGTTTAAATAGGAAACATGCCAACACAGGGAAGAAAAGTGTGCTGGTCAAGCCATTTATTTGCCCTGCTCTTAGCGATCAATAGCACATAAGAGGGGTGTTTGTACCCGGCATTGTGATGGTGCCCTCCTGCTCCAGAGTCTCTGGATTGATCTTAATGGCCTCCATGCTGTGACTGTTCATGTCTCGATACAGCAAACAACCCTGTAAAGCAAATCGCCACAGGAAAATTTATTTTGTAAGGCTGTTCAATGAATGACATTTTTGGTCGAAAACATCATAAGCACCTAATGCTTTATTTATGAGATAAGATCAATAGATCAAACCCATATTAAGTACTATACATGGAGTACATTGACGTTATATAAGCAGACAGACAATCAAGAGAAGCTCATAAAACTCAATAGGTCAATACCTGGGCGAATCCCAGCCATGACCTCTTCTCCTTACGGTTCCTGATACGTGATGTGGAGTTGTACACATGGCCCTGCAATCGACAGCCTCTTATCAGCACCCACACAGACACAAGGATATACAACCTGCTGCATCAGCACTGCAAACCACATCCATGACTTCACAAATCTCAAAATTGTCAAATAAAAACTTGAGTTGTATATAAACATTCAAATTGCACATAAGGAAGTTTTATATCACCATTAGGGATGTAACGATTCACTCAACTCACGATTCGATTCGATTCACGATTATTATAATTTTTTTTAACAAAATGAGATTTAAGACAAATTATAAATTAAATGTGTCCTTTTATTACCAAAATCATCACAATTAAAAGAACCAAAGACTTAAACTACTTCAGTCTGTGTGCATTGAATTTATTTAATACACGAGTTTCACAATTTGAGTTGAATTACTGAAATAAATGAACTTTTCCATGACATTCCAATTTATTGAGATGCACCTGTATTTTCGTAATATTTCTGAAATGCTGGTGCATACCAACTAGTAATTACTAATTCATTACAAATAATTACTGAACTACTTATTTAGTCTAAAAAAATGCTTAGTAAAATTAACTTCTATAATTTTAATTGTGCAATCAGGTAAATAAAGGATGTCCTTACCCGCACGGTGCCACTGTACCCTGAGCCCACTTTGTAGAGGCCATCTTTACAGAGCAGGTACAGGAAGGAACCATCAGTTTGAAGAAGACAGCGTTCATCTTCATCGATGCTCACCTCCTTCAAAACCCATTTGTTCATCAGTGCGGCTCTCTTGATGCCGTTCCCAAACCAGTCCTGGATCTGGATCTTTCCCACCAGCACTGCCTGCACACTCCTCTGAAGGGCGTTCAGGATTGTTGGAACCTTTTGTTACACAAATATAGTCGGGTCAGATAGTTCTTAAAAATATAGTCTTAAAACAGTTCTTGAGCATTCTTCACCTTGAGAAAGCACACAAATACAGAGTTCTTTTTCATGTCTTCTTGCACTTAAACGGACAAATTCGCAAAAATGGCAAAATGCCCATCTTGTTGAGTATCCTTGTAAATCGATCAGTTATGTCTTAAGTGAAAATCGGGAAAAAAAAGTGAAAATCTGATTTTTGACAGTATATTAGATCCGTGCAACACACTGTAAAAAAAAAAAAAAAGTTTTTCGTAGTTGTAAATAACGATTATTGGAGTACACTTCTTTAGTCTTTCTATTTCTACCATTTCTTAGCAATTTCTGAGTAAAACTGTTGCAAAGTAAATCCAGCACCAATTTTTTTTTTCAGTGTAGGTCTTAAACTGACAGCAGCCTAATATAGCATTTGATAACTTTATTCAATTTCTGTTGTATTTCAAACTGTACCTGAATGCTACTGTTAGAATGTTTTCTGTTTACCTGTCTTTAATAATGTTTGAACTTATTAGTTGGCTTGTAGTTTTTGCTGTGGCATTGAAACTGGAATCAAGAATTGGGACATTTTTAATTATTTTCTAAAATGTTGGTGTCGTAACAACCTTATTTGTTAAAATACAATGCAACATGGGTCAAAAAAACGAGAACAAAAACTTTTCTGTGGTGAGGCCAGTGAAAATTTCGGCAGGCCAAAAACTGGCGTTGATCAAAACGACTTGGCTGGTTTGTCATTGGTTTGAATCAGTCTAATGACTCACTCCGTGGCTGAATAACACTGACATGACTCACTCAGTGATGTTACGTTTCAAAATGAACAAGTGTTACGGTGTTATTGTTGTACTTCAAGGCTTGTGAGACTTACAACAATGCAGTTACTGACTGGTTGTTAATTTGACTGTGTGAAGTTAAGATAAAGACCTACCAAACCCCTCTCTGCACTTCTTGACCTTCACAAGATGGACAGCATGCCCCCTTCATCTATTTCACATCATATCCCCAGGACACATTTTTCCCCCTTGTTTAATATTTATGTTGATCATTATTTAACATAAACCACTGTGTCTGTCTTCGCTGACCCCACCAAAGAGTTCAGCCGATGGCAGTAAGGTACTCTGATGAGCGATGCTACAGATGACAAAGAGGTTTATTGAAATTCTAGAACATCAATGTTATTGCTTTAGATGACTCTTCAGTCAATAATGACATTTAGTTATATTGCACCAGCTCTCCAGAGGATGAAGTACCCTTCTCTGTTCTTTAACCCTCTTAGCGCCAAAGTCGCAAAATTGCGACAAGATGTCATACTTAATCAAATAGACTGTAGTTCCTAATATGGTGTAATATCTCATTTGTATTCCCTACCACTAGATGGCAGACATGTAGTACTTCGATTCTAGACCTCCAGCATTTTTCCAAAAAAACCCTGGCGCCTAAAGGGTTAACTTTGACTCAAGTCTTACACTGCCAGCTTTCTAATTATTTCAATAAATCGATTGGAATCCATGATTCAGCAATTTGCTCATGGACATTCCTGTTGATTTTTCATATAGAAAAAACATGCAAGTAAATATTGAGGTTTACTACTATGTAAAGTTATATTTGTGATTATGAATTAAAATGATTAAATATTGTTTATCCTTAAAGGGTTAGTTCACCCAAAAATAAAAATTAGGCTGTGTTTCACTCCATTTAGTCATAAACAAAGTGGAAAACATGCCTTCATTATTTTAAAATATTTTCATTGTATGTTACGTAAATGCATTAAACATTTGCATATTTGGCAACAGTGGCTGTTTGGTTTACACATAAACCAAAAACAATACACATAAAAAATAAATATATTTGTACCATATATACCATTTAAAATCAAATACATATATATATAGAGAAATCTATTATATCCTAAAAAAGTTGAAAAACATTGTCCAGCTCTGCAAAGCACTTGATCTGGATATACATGTCAACATTTGCCTGTTTTTCAGTTTCATTCTGAACCACTTCCAAGTTGGACGTGTGCACTGTAAACTGACAGTGAGCGACGGCTCAGATATCACACTTTACACAAGCTATGCAAGTTACTCATGCTCCAATTAGGTTGTAGTTACCTTGGTAACAACAAATGAACTCTGTGCTTCTCTGATGTCTAAATCAGTGTGTGATATTGACAGAGAGCATTAAAACACATTTAAATAAGCAAAAAAATGACAGACCAATATCATGCAGATGGTAGAAGACTGAGGAATAATTGGCTGAGGGACTTGACATTTTCAGTAAATGTTAAAAATAAACTTCAGGTACTCTTTTCTAAAGTTTGGATTCTTTAGAAGGAGATGCAGAGCGGTAGGTGCTACACACAAATTTAACAGACTTTACCACATTTTACTTTTATTGTTAGATCTTCTAGTGTTTAGGAATACTATCTATTTAATAACTTCTATCTAGAAACTGTTCAGTGGCATCAGTGGAAGGAGCATCTTCTTCAAAACTTTAAAACATGCAATCTCAAAACACTGACTCACCTGGATGGTCTGGCATGCATGACTGCCATTGTTGGTGAGGATGGCAGACACAGCCTGGAGGATTTTGCCAGTGTCTCCCCAGGCCACCACCAGGCTGAAGAGGCAGGCACAGGACAACGCTGTGAGGGTCTGACCAGTGGGGTCGTTCATCCCTGTGCTCCGCACGGTGGTCTCCAGCAGGAGATGAAAGAGAGACTCTGCAGGGCCAACAGTGGTGTCATGATTAAACTATACAGACACTTTATTTGAACAGGAGAAGGTATCTCACCCAGCACATCTGGAGGTTCAGTCTGAAAGCTCTCTGGCTGTTGTCCCTGGAGCATATCTAAAAGGGCCTGAAGGCTCCGTAAGCACAGTGACGGGTGTGAGAAACGAGTCTCTTTGATGAGCTCAAACACTCCACACAGCCCAATACCAATGATCTGAGGAGCAGAGGAACATAGCTGTGAAGTAACATTAATCCATAATAGAGATCCACCAAAATTACATTTTAATGGCCAATGCCAATATCTAGACAGTAGGATGACGCAATGACTGATAAAGGCAAATTAATCATATAAAATGTATATTAAAATATTTGAATATTTTCAATATTTACTCAAAAATGTCTTTACAAAAACAAACAACAAATAGCAGACACTGGATTGACTGAATTGATTCTTAAAGGGGTCATATGATGTTGCTAAAAAGAACATTATTTTGTGTATTTGGTGTAATGAAATGTTAGTGGAGTTTTGTGTAGTTTATTAATGGAATCCCGCAAGATTTGACGTCATCAGTTACGGCGCTCACTGACTGACTGCACCACTGCGTGATAGCGCGAGGCTTGTTGATCCCGCTCTCGCGGAACTTCTGACCATTACCGCATGCTCCCATCCGCTCCAGCGATTTTTGTGTCCGCTCCCACAAACATTCTAATAATGTATATAATTTTCGTGCATCAGGGCGCCGCTATCAATATGTGAATGAGCGCTCTCAGTTCACTTTCACTTTCGATTTCGCGATCGCGCGCACACTGTGTAAACAGTGACTGTAAAATATGTATTTTAGGGATGGAAATTATTTTTTTTATTTGGGACATAATTGCGCTACTTTGGGCTGTTTTATTTACTAGCATGGGCTTGGGATGCACAATTAAAATGATGTAATAGTTGTGATCATTATTTTACCTTCCATGATCATTCAGACACGATCAGGTGCAATACTGACACACTGTCAAGTCTGCATCAAATCAAGCACTCCGTAATCACAGATAAACTGTCTGATCAGTCAGATGTTTGTCAAGAGAAGTGTTCCACAAAACAGCTATGGTTTGCAGACAGTTATAAGAGTTGATATGACAAATACAACTTTTGAATATACTGTGTGAACTCATTGCCCCGTTAGCTCGGAGAGCTTTATTTTCCCTCCTCAATAAGTTTTGTCAGTTGTTTTGTTTATTGGTCTAATTCTTGTTTCTTGGGTTGCACTGGTTAGTCACTCAATTAATTATCTTGTGCTTCGTTTCCCCCTTCTGAATTATGTTGCATTGATAAGGAGTTATCACAAAGTAAGACTGTTTAGTTGTACTATCTTACACACAGTATATAGTAAATGTAAGTTAAAGTGTCGCAGATGTAACCGGTTAAAACATGGAGTGGCGATGAGGTCTTAAAATGTATGAAAAGAGTCTTAAAAAAGGTCTTAAAAGGTATTAAATTTAACTCCATGATTCCTGTATATACCCTGACGAGGCATTTGTTGCATCCAGTGGGGACATAATTATGTATTATAATGACATATACTGTCTTTTTACGCGTTGCATCGCGCCGCGTAGAATATCTCTTTGGATTTGAGACTTTAGTCTTTGCAACTTTACAGATCTTCTTTATGCACCAAGATCTTGTATCACTTCAAAGAGAAAGGAAAAATTGAAATCGCATCATATGACCCCTTTAAAGCATTTTCTTTGACATTTGAAACATTTGAAAACAATGATTCAATACAGAGCCAAAAACCAAACAACTCAAGAATTGAATCACACATTACAAACTTTTATTTGAACTGCAGAGTCAGATTTCTGCTGCCATGGTAACAGCGTCTACTCTGATTGGTGGATATCTCTTTAGGATTGTGGGTAATGTAGTATTTAAGAGGGAAAAATTCTAAAATTAAACATGACATGGCTTTTGAAGAAGCATTTAACATCACTGAACCACTAAGCTCATGATAGGTCAGTCATGAAAGGTTAATATGTAATTGTTCAAGCTTAATTTCTCTACAAAAAAAAATGTTTTTGTTTTTTTTTTTGCTTGGAGAACTTATCCGTCACACTCTATTTTCTCACTCTGCAAGCACACTAAGTCAAGTAACACTTATTCCAGCACCAACAAAAAAAATAATAATGTGGCTTATTCAGTATAAAACCACCATCATGCAACAGAAATGCCATATCTGAAATCAGTGAGTGTGGAAAAATCTATCACTATAGCAACAGAGTTGTGCCGAGAACAGTATGGTTTACTTTGACAGAAAAATAATTTTAAAAAAAGGACCGAATGTGTTTGTTAATACAAACAGACTTTTAATGCGGTGTTGCCGTTTCACCTAATGGGTTTATGTGAGCACCACCATGTAGAACATTCAGGTCATATGAGCATGTAAGTTAGTTTGACTATGCCTCTTTTATCTAAATGTTGTTAAGATACAGATCTTGCTGTGTAGCAATCCTCAATGACCTCATTACAGCCGTGATCATTAACAGAGATATTTTAATGAAGGAATCTTTGGGAAGTTTCTTTGTGGAAACTGTTCATTCCTGAAAGTGCTTCCTTCTTGTTATAAGACACGGTGTTGGGCTATCATAACAAGAAACCTGGTTCATCTTTCAAGGTCATCATCTAAAACAGGAATTTCTGCTTTGTTCACAGGACGTCCGAGAGAGATAACAAATGATCCTGCGTAATGTCTCTCAAGGTTCAGACTTCAGAAATGATATAACAGATGCTCAACTATCAATAAAGTGCTTGTCCTTGAATAAATATAAAAGCATCTTCAATAGCGAATCATAACACCCTGACACAATTTACACATCTTAAAATAATAGTCATCAGGGTATAACATGGGACCAATCTGCATATTTTTGCCATCCATTAAAACAAGTCTTTATTTTTCATCAAATCCAACTTCAGAGCTTGTGAGACTTTAATCAGTGTAATTTCTGACTAGATATTAATATGATATTAATAGTTAAGTAGTTAAGATAAACATTCACAGATTTTTGTTGAATAAAAATGGTATGTTGATTTAAAACACAATTTGTGCAGTGCAGAATTTGTTTACTGTATTGTCAGAACCATGTTTTTAATAGTTAAAAGTGCTAAGTATTGTTAACTGAATCGCTAGGGAACTAGAAACGTTAAGTGGAATCACAACCAGAAATATTCCTTGACATTTTAATTTAATTCCTAGTGCTTCCTATCACTAAGCACATTCCCTTCTAGGTCGTAGCCTACGCACAAGATCTTTGAAGTGGAGATTGGAATTAATCAGCCACCTATCCACATATGGCTGTGATGTGAAGAGGAAATGTCATATTGATGGTATAACATGGCAGTGCCTCCCTTTGGCCATTCTTGCAATGCAGAGTAAGAAACATGTTCTGCCTCCACTACTCATGATATTGGTTTCAAAACTTGCACATAAAAAAAGAAAATTCTGTTTATAATACAAATAAATAAATAATTTAACGGAATAAATAACTAAATCATTTTAATCTGGTAAATCCAATAGCCCTTTCTGCTGAATCAGCATGACCAAGCACACTACTAAAATGCATTTTGTAACTAACATATACTGACAATCACCATAATAACACAGGTGATAATAAAGCAAGTCACATGAGGAATCAAAGTTCATTATAAGTAGCCTTTCCACAGGTTGACGTAACAATGACAACAGAAATTAACTTATTCACATGGAACGCCATCAAAAGTAGGGCTGAACGATTAATTGCACTTGCGATAATATCGCGATATGAAAAAACGCGATTTTTCAATCACAGAGGCTGCGATTACACTCGGTCACGTGACACGCGAGAGTAAAGAGGTGTGTTCGACTTGAAGATCGATCGGTGTATGACATCAAAGTAAGGCGAGAGAAAGAATAAGGAGACGTCTGCTCTCTTATAGCTCTCGCAGTACTTTGATGACACACAAATCTGTCTAATCAGCGCTGCTTCAAGTCGAACACATTTAAGCAGTCTTCAGAGGAAGCATCAAGTTGGCACGCTACAGTGTTGCCAAGTCCGCGGTTTGGGGATCCCCTTCAAAAAAATTTGAATTTTACCCCCTGGAACGTGATTTTTACCGGTTGACCCCCCTCGAAACGCAATTGGGCTAGTTTTGAGTAGCAATTGGGCAGGTTTTGTTGTGAAAACCTGGCAACCCTGGCACGCTACACGCAGAAATGTTTGAAAGTGTATATAATGAGCGTACTTCAAAACGGCACATTGAAATTACTCAAGCAGTAACAGTGTTACGGTGCATTTCATTACAGAAGACTTCGACCATAATATATATAATAATTAGGGAAGCACCGAAATGAAAATTCTTGGCCGAAGCCGAAACCGAACAAAATTAAACACTGGGCCGAAGGCCGAATACCGAACAAAGGTTTTGAGTTTTTTTCCCCATGTATTTTGCCAATTTTTTTTTCACCATTGCATAAATTAAAAAGCCAAAATGTGCTTTTTACTGTTTTGTCTTGCTTTTCAAAAAAAAAAATCAATTACAAAACAACAATTAAAAAATATATAACACTGAACATTTTTAACATTCT